CTCTCTCTCTCTCTCTCTCTCTCTCTCTCTCTCTCTCTCTCTCTCTCTCTCTCTCTCTCTCTCGTCTACTCTCGCGGTTTCACCCTCTTCGTCTGTCCAGTTTCTCCTCTCGTTTCATCGTCGCGCGTTTCACTCGTTCGCTATGCAGAGTTAACATGTTTCGTCTTGCTCTTGCTAACTGAATCCACGACTGTACTGATAACAATAGCGAGCTCTTGCTTCCCTTTCTCTCTATCTTTCGTTCGTACTATCCTAACGCTCAGTGTTCCCCTTTCTGCCCGAAGCCGGTGCGCGCGCGGCAGTAGGGATACGCCAGTGCGTGTACGCCATCGGGAGCTACCAAGCAGGCGCATCGTCGGCCTATTACAATGGCCAGCCCTCCTAAACGTTTCATTGTCATCGGCGTTCTCTCTGCCCATGCGTCGATGCGCGCGAACCATTGTTTCTCGTCGAATGGGCGGCTCTCCACCGCCAACGAGACCACCGTCATCGGACAATATCGCGCCGATTCCACGGTGAGGCCAGCCGAGGCGTGAGTTTCTGCGCGATCGACCATCCATGACCGCCAGTACTAGAGTATATTAATTGCTTTTATCTAGCGATCCCCTTCTGTTGGAAAGGTGTTGCGATATCATTAGCATGATAGATTTGTCGGCTAGACTGTTCGATCAATTATTAGATGTATAAATTTCACTTCGCACAAATCGCCGATTGTTTTTATTGCAACGGTAATGTATCTCCCTCCCTCCCTCCCTCCCTCCCTTTTTTTAAGTAATTAATGTTTATTTATTATATCACTCTATATGTATATATCTCCACGATTTGCACGTTTTTGCTTTGTCCTTACTATGTGTAACGAGGCGGCAGCCAAAGCTCACTTTTCTCTTTTGCGGTAGTTTATACCGCTTTTTATGAACGCAGGATAATCGGAATACATATTTGTCGCGTTTAACATCAGAGAAGTGAGATATATCATCGTGGCACGAACTTGTTACCACGCTACCGTGTATGGCTAGATCTAATAATAAGTTCCAAGGATAGTTATTTTTTTTACCAACACACATATATATATCGATTATTTACGCGTGCCATCGAAGTTTTCCTGCTTACGACATTCCTCCGTCCGGTGAAAGAACAAGTTTGTTCTGTAACGACAAAAAACAATTATCGTGAAAACTGCATTCATTAATAACGGATAACGTATCGTTGCATCGCGTCACGTAGATATTCAGGTAGAACCGGTCGGACTAACTCGATATGCGAATCTTTCAGATAAGCACGCATCGTCAAGTAAATCAGGCCTTCTCTCGTTACACGCGTATTCTTAATGCAATATCCCGGGACACCGACTACAATCAACTACGGATCTTACAACCAGTGCTAAAGATAATGATCCCAGCGCCCGATAAGTATTAATAGCGTGAGCTAGTTGCGTCGATGCACGGTTACAAAGCGAAGATACGTCCTTCCGTTTCTCATTCCATTATATTAAGTGCTCCACTTGCCGATTCAAAACTCGATACACTTGATACGCGCGATGCATTTCGAATCATCTTGATTTTTGACGTTCGCAAAACAACGAGTCCGAGTTCCGGTCGTGATGCGCGGCGCTAAACTGTAATTATCACGAATTCATCTTAAGAAGTGATCACGCATTCTTCTTGCTACATGATATTACCGATGATCTACAGTACATTGAAAATTGTAGTCTTCCGCGGCGCACGATCGCGATCTTCTTGATCCACGTCCAGGGTAATAAATCTGCCCTAATGTTGGGTTACGAGAAACAGTTATCGGAGTCTTGAAATTTATCGGTTCCTTAACAATTTTCCGCTATTATCGTCAACGATCATTAACAATTCTTTCAATCGTAACAATTCAACGGCAGTTTCTCATAACCTGAGATTAGTGCGCTATAATAAGTTTAAAATATATTATACCTTTTAAACAACTATGGATGAAGCATAGATTACAAACGCATTGTTCGAAAATATGATTTCCATACGTTAATACTACGTTACGACGATAAATAATCGGATCCTTAAAATTTATCGCCTGCTCGATAATTTCAATGTTACTTTTGACATTTGATTCGTATAATTATAATGATGAGAGAGAGAAAGAGAGAGAGAGAGAAATTTTTTACTTGCTCTTCATATATAATGCATCGCTAGATATTGCTTTCAATTGCTTAAACATATCAAATTATATCAATATCAATATTGCCTTTAATATCGTAACTAAGTTGCACACAAATAAGATTTTTTGCCATTTCCAATAAATACACCATAATATAACGATGTATTTTTTATAAAATATTTTTGCAATATTTAATTTATATTCAGTATGGCCGTTCTCTCGTGTCTCTCGATAGCAATTTTCTTGACTTGCTCCCACAGCATAGGATAGGGATGAATTGTTCTGACAAAATCTGCACGGTCCAGGCGATATAATTCGCAGATTTCAACAGCGACTACACTGGCTACTCTTTGTTCGTCCAGCATCACCAGCGCGATCTCCCCAAAATGCGCGCCATCCTCCAAATGACATACTTCCTTTCCGGTGCTCGTATAAATAGCCACTGTACCACTAGCGATGAAGTACATGCAATTACCTGGTTGGTTTGCCCGTACAATTACGTCGTTCGGTAAAAATATTTCGGGTTTTAGTAAGGCGACAATGCGTGTTATTAACGGGAGAGGTAGATTGTTGAAAAACGTAACGTTTTCCACGAGTTTGCGACAAGCGTGCATCCCGATTTCCTGGCGCATATGCGAGGACAGCGTTTTGAGGATTTCAGCTTCGCAAAAATATCGATGTTGAAAACAAAACTCATAGTAGTTTACGATACGACGTTGAGTCAAGTACGGTAGTTGCTGACGCTTCATATACTGCTTGACTTCTGCCATCATGTCTTGATATTTTATCTTCGAGCTATTGGCGCCCTTGTAGAGCTGGTTCACGCAAGCTATGAGGATCCAAATAGTTAGACTCCCCAAGATTTGTAAGAGCATCACCAGCGTGAGGTCTGCATTGGTTTTTGGTTTTTCATGTAAAAAACCCGCCGACATAAAAATGGGAACAGCGCGTAAGAGACTGTGCAGATATTGAAAACTTTTGGATTCTTCCCAAAGATTAAATTCATTTATCCAGTAGTCATCGCTTGGTTGCTTCGGTAGGTGCATGGAAGTTGCCGCTATTGGCACTAGCCAGTAAAGACAAGACTGCCACTGAAATGCTATCATTAGCCAAAATATCACGATGCAGACTTCATAAAGGGCCATTGGAATGTTGTATGTGTGAGCAATTTTTATCATGTAGGAATTAAGAGAAAATACACGGAATCCACATATCAAAGATATCAGCTCACGTGTGACTGTATTCTCTTGCCATGTTTTAATAAATACGATATCAGTTGGTAGAGAACCCAAGAAGTCTGGCAAGAAAGTACCATATCTTATATATTTCTTCATTATCTTTTTCGGTTCCATCACGACAGTATGACGCACTTTGTCAAAATATCTGTTCATCAATAGATAAACAAATTTTTAATTTTATATAGATTTTAATACATAAATTTTATTGTAACAAAAACATTAGAACGTCCAGAAATTGTGTTTCTGTGTTGCATTCTGCGAAAATTCGGATATATCAGCTCAATAAAATAAATTTAAATTCAGTTAAATTATACCCTGTCATAAAATTGACGATTATGTCCATGCAACAGAAAGAAAGTAGCAGATTTTTACAAATTGTCCAATAACGTAACCGCATCTTTATTTCGAAGGCGGCTTGATATGGAGTAATCAATAGTAAGCATGTTATTATTAAAATCATTAGGATATCCCAGTAAAGTCTGCGTTATAAAAGATTCAGTTTAGTTTAAAAAAGATATAGTTTAATATATTTGATATATAAATGTATATAATGAATTTTACATATATGAGAAAATTGTAAAAATTTGTCGAGGAAATATACCTAAAAATACTGAATGGATGAAGGATATGCTTGTATCTATGTAAATGCCGTCGCTTTTCCATGATTATGGAGTCGCGGCTGTGTAAATACTTGTGGGCAGCTGGATTTTTTCCTGATGCCATCAGTAAAGAGCGGAAAGTGTCAAACGCTTTTTGGAAGAAATTACGATTAGGAAGAAAGAATATATCTTCCTGGTCGGTCTCAATTTCGCATTCATGGTCCACATGAAGCATTATGGAATCGTTTAATTGCGAATTAAAGGTAAAAAAAGGGATTTTATCAAATGCAACACATATATTGCTCAATTCTAATTACAGAATTACAAATATCATTATAGGCCATGAAACAAGCGTATATCGCTGGTAATGGCGACATCTCTTCGAATGAAAGAACAACTTGTCCTTTCACAGCAGATTCGTACGAGTGAATGCAGTCGGTAATATCGTTGCCAGTGGATGATAAAACTTGTGTTCAGGTTTCTCTCGGAGTTTCTCTTTCGATATGATACCGGCACATTATCTTGAAGCCTGAGAGTGGACATAGTCGTGTTTTAGATGAAACTGAACTTCATTGTTAGATGGAACTGTTTACTGATACTTTTACATGTATAAAACGTGTATGTTGAATTACGTATTCAGATATCTGCAGATATGTACACGATCTTTGATTTTATTCTATATTACGTACATTATTGCTTGTTCTATTCAGTGCTATGTCTATAAAATATAACCGCGTAATAATGAATTATAAATATAATAATTAAAAATTTAAATAATTTAAACTTAAAGAAGATATTAAAAATATAAAGCGTATAAGTTATATATATACATATATATATATATAATCACGATAAAAATCTTAACTTTTAGAATTATATTACTTGTGCAACACTTTTTATTGTATTGTATTTTTATTGAATAATTTTGTTCAATCAAACACGATCTTCAATCAATATACATATGTATAAACATAATTTGAAATTCTTCAGAAAATCATATCTAGATAGTTGTAAAACTTAAATTATAATATATCTAATGTAAGATTTATTCTTATTCAAATACTTCAATAAAAATTAGCAGATACAATACATACAATATCGCAATAATTAAGCAATTTATAATTCCATGTAAAATTCTCATAAAAGTTTCCATTTAATAAAAGAGAATAACATGAAAAACAATTATATACTATAATATTTAAAAAGTTAATATTTTGACACGAATGTGAATAGTTAACTAATATATTATATAGTTAATATGAAAAGTTAACTAATTAATTGGATGTACTTACCAAATTGCTGATTGTTCATTGAAACTGACTGTGTTCCGTTGACCGAGTTCCGTAAAGCTAAGAGCAGCATGATGCCTGCCGGCTCGAATTGTTTCGCTCGACTGAATGCATTACTTCTCCCCTTTCTCCTTGTTCTAACTTGCTCTACGAAAAACAAACATTAAGGCTAACTTTGAAACTCAAACGAAATATTAAGTCTTGTAAAACTTTATTTAAACTTTTACAAATTTTACGAATTTTTAGTAATTTTAATTCGAATCATTCAATTCTTTTTTAATTAAAAATCTATCCTGAATTCCGGACTCAATTTAACGGATATGTTATTCAAAGAATATATTATTTCAAAATTTTAAATTGATCAACAAATTGCAATCACACAGTCGAAAAAAATATAAAATATCTGTCAAGAATGAACATTTGTACTGAAATTTTTTAATCCTATATTATCTATATATATATATTTAGTAAAAAAGAGTAACGTAAAAAATTGTTTCACAATTTTAGGTTTGTTTTTTTATAGCAGAACTGTTTGTACATTCGTTGTACACACATATCTAAATTAAATTAAATTAAAATAAGGTAGACATATATGTTTGAAGTTTGACCAAAAAAGGAAAGATAATTTTAGTCCATTTTTAGATAATTTTTTAGTCCATTTTTCATTGAGTTAGTTTCTTAAAGCGAGGAGTAACGTGCTACCCATCAACTCGAATCGTGTCCCTTCACTGACTGAATTAATGAAAGCAATGTAATTTTAATTTAACAGTTTGTCCAACAAGAAAATATACCAAAGCTAAAAAAACGAAAAGAAAAAAACATACGTATAACGAAAAAGGCGTTTACATATTGATTTGTTTTTACTAAATTAAACTTTGTTTAAAAATGTTTAAATTGAAAATATATGTACAAATATATTATAAAAAAATTTAGTCATGAATTTTATCTTAACTAGCACATCCCCTGCGCGCGCTACGCGCGCGCTCCTCCATTATACTCTCCTTTTTAGACAATATGAAATATAATATTACGAATCTGGGTTCAAAATGTTTGAATAAGAAAAATGACCGAATCGTTATGGCGGTTTAAAAATTTGAAAATTTAAAGTGGTTGAATCAATATGGCGGATGGAATTCTTTAGTTAAATACCATAAAAAATTTAATAATACAATTATTTATATTCGAACGCTAATGTTACCATGGTACATGTTGCTTCATTTTTTTTTTGTTTTACGTTAGAGGAGAAAATCTGTGTACACCTTCTGCCAGGTAATGTTTCATTTGAACATCAACCTGACTAGAGGAAGACACCTGGCGCCCGAACTCACCGGGTGTATTGGATTCGTTCAGTTCGTGTTTCCGAATAGTGAAATCGAATATTTTTTTTTGCATTCGTTTGCTCGTCGTTTGCAAACGATTGTTCCGTCGGAATTTTCGTTTGCTCACCCTGAGTTCAAAAGTTATACGAAATTAAAATTTTGTGGGGTCAACTTCACGCTAGCCCGCCAATATTAAAAAATCGAATATTTTTTTGCATTCGTTTGCTCATCGTTGCTCACGATAGCTCCGTCGGAATTTTCGTTTGCTCACATTTAGTTAAAAGTTATACGAAATTTAAATTTTGTGGGGTCACCTTCACGCTAGCCCCCCAATATTAAAAAATCAAATATTTTTTTTGCATTCGTTCACTCGTCGTTTGCAAACGATTGCTCCGTCGGAATTTTCGTTTGCTCACCCTTAGTTCAAAAGTTATACGAAACTTAAATTTTGGAGGGTCAACCTCACGCTAGCCCCCCAATATTAAAAGATCAAACATTTTTTTCTGCATTCATTTGCTCAGCGTTTTCTCACGAACGCTCGCATTCGAACGGAATAAGCGCAAACATTTTTTTTTACGGATATAGGTAGCGCATAAATAGCGCATTATTCCATAATTTTTTCATTAAGGTTTGGATAAGTGGGAGGGCCAGCTAGGCAGACGTAACTTAGGGCTGAATATGACTGTTCGCTCCAAGAGAGAAGTGCCTTAAGTGTTGCAGCGCAAAAATCAAAAATGCCTGGAAATAGTAGCGTATAAATAGCCCATAAATCCTGTGTATTTAATTTTCCAAACCGGTTGTACTTAACGGGTGGAGGGGCTGTCGGACTGCCTACCCAGTCCTCCACAAAAAAAAATTTTTTTTTTAGCTAAGCGGAATGAGCGCAAAAATTTTTTTTTTACGGATATAGGTAGCGCATAAATAGCGCATTATTCCATAATTTTTTTTAT